CCAAATGAACCTATAACTTTTTTAGTTGAGAATAAGCAGGGTTTTTGACTTTCTAATTTTTTCAAACTAAAAGGCTTGGTTTTTTAGATGTTCCCAAACGAGATATTCAATGGCTGAAAATGAAATATAAGTCAATAAATTTTATATAAAAAAAGTATTTACTAATTAATGTGTCACGTAATAATAAAATGTTAAAAAATTGAAATAAGTTTAACTTTAATGATACAATGATAGTAAAAAAAAGTTTGTATAACATTACTAGCATATATGTATAATTATATTATTTTAATGATTAGATTCATTTATATTTATATTTTAAATTTATACATATAACTTATTTACTAAATTAAATTAAATTAATTAGAAAATAATAATATATTTATTTTTTCATTAGAGAAATAAATGATTAGATTGTCTAACAAATATAATGATATCAAGTAATCAAATTTATTTTATTTTATTTAATGAATAAGCAACACATAAGCATAACATATGAAAAGAGTTGAAACAGACAATGTGGAAGCCACTAAAGTAGAGATGGAGAGAAGCTGCTCACAAAGGCCTAATTTTTTTCATTATTAATAATTGCATGTTATTTACTTTAATTTTTAAATTCTAATTATTTTTTAAATTGTGTTTTAAAAAAATACCTTTAGTAAGCTGCTAAAAAAATTATGTAGTGAAATTTTACTATGTATTTTTTCAAAAAATAAATAAAAAATGAATTGTCCTTTCCCTACATCGAAGACGAAGGATGCTCAAATGCAGACTCGAATCAAAATAAATAATGACAAGAAGATTCAAAAACTTTTCACAGCATATAACAATGAAAGTGGGTTCAAAATTATCCATAAAAGTAAGAGAGGATGACACATGCAATGCATTAAAAACTATTAAATTGTCCTCTTACTAGTAAGAAAACCATGTTTAGGAATTTTTGACTAATTTTCTATATTAAAAAAAATTAGAACTGAAGTTGTGGTGACTTCATTCAATTTTTGAAAATCTAATTAGGGCTTGTCACAGATCGGGTTTGGGTGGATTTATAAAAATTTGCCCCCATCCCCTATCTAATCAAAGGTAAGGTAAATAGGGAGATGGTAGAAGCGGAACGGGAGACAGGTTAATTTTGTAAGTTGAAAAATGAAATATTAATAAAAATTATAAATAATATAGTATATTACGAATAATAATTTATACTTAATGAGAATTATATTATATAAGATAGAAAATAAATGAATAAAAATTACTATTAAGCATAATATTTTAGTATTTTAACTTTATTATATTGAAAAATACATAAATTATATATTATATACATATAAATATAATTAGGACAGGGTTTGGATGGAACGGGATGGGGAAAGCAAAACCCGTCTCCGCCCCACTTCTTAATCGGACAGAGAAAAAATCGTATGGGGCAAGGTGGGAAATGCGAGTATGGAGCGAGGTGGGAGAAAATGACCATCTCTAAACCCAACATTAGTCTCTTTTCACGGATGATTATTTGGTAGTCCTGGAATATGATTACGTGGTACGTCATGATAATATGATTGGTAGAGAAAGTGAAATATTGATTATTTGTATTAAATGATTGAGAAGTATGAAAAGATATAATAAATGATAATTGATAAGAAAGTATAATATAATCACTTGGTACTCCAAAATTATTGTATAATTTTCCCCTTTTTCACTAACATTCTCTATGGTAAAATGATAATTAAGACCCTCACCCCACACCTGTTGTTGTCCCTCGCTCATTTTAATGTGTAAGACTCTGGTTTTGTTAACACAGTGTGCACATAAGGAAAATGTGGTCTCACTAAAACGGCAAAAGAAAATATTAAAATATTCCTTAAGACTATTATTAATATTATAAAATATATATAAAAATATTTTAAAATTTATAAAAGTGTGTTGAAATATGTAAATAATATATTGAGATTATAAATCTTTGAACAATTTTGCTGTACATACCCCTTTCAAAGGTGTACCATATGTACTCTTAATTATGTCATTTTTTTCTTTAGTTGTGACTAATTTTTTCTTTAGTTATGAAATTATTTTACGCCTTTTTGAGAAGTGCTTATAAACCGCCTTATTGGTTTTTTTGATTTATTTATCAACTCTTTACTTTTTTTTACACGTATTTTCGTAATAAGAAAAAAATTAACTTATTTTGCATTTCCCAAAACAATCCTTAATTACGACTAATGAGATTTTTTATTATATTTCAGGTGGTGTTTGAATATGACTTATTTTTATTTTTCATTTTTTAGTTATTACTCAGAAAATAGAGAGTTATGTCATTTTCTTCTTTAGTTATAAGGTGTATATGGTACACATATTTTGAAAAATGTGTACCTTCATCAAATAGTGTCCATATAAAATAGGTAAAGTTAGGTATTATTTGGCGTCCCCTATATTAGCATAATTTTTTTATTTTTTAGGTCATATCACCTCTCTACTTTTTTACAAATCTTTTCGTAAAAATTCAAAAAATATAATTATCTAGATCATCAAAAAATATAATTATCTAGATCATCCCAAACACCCTCTAGTTGTCATTAGTAAAACCCAAAAATAGAAAATTAAATATAGCAAATCTCACAATTTTAACATAATTACAAAACTAATGAAAATGATTTGAATACACGAAGATAAATTTTAAAAAAATAAAAACATTTTAGTGTGAAAGAAATAATAATATCATTTTTTTCTATGCATATGACTAACAATTTTGATGAAAAATAAAATTAAGTGCTATGTGAATTAAAAATATAAAAGAAGGTAATGTAATTGAACTAGAATTTGTTGTATATTTTTTCAAATCCCACAAAATGTTACTTATCCAACACAAAAACATATATTTTGAGATCAACTTACCATACTTTTACGAAATCACTAATTTTTGTACGAATTATATACATTAATATAAACTCCACACTCATAGGGACGGCACCTATAATATTGATTAAAAAAAAGTGATAATTCACTAAAAATTTCTATTATTATTTTTTTTTATGTTTTATTTATTTATTGATTTATTTTGTTTTGTTTTGATTTGTAGGCATTTTTGTTGTACGTAAGAATAAAATCAGAGTGATCGAAAAAGTAGGAGCTTTTGTTGGAGAAGATATATATACAAATGTAAGTAAAGGTGGGATTCTTAGATGGAAGGACTTGAAAACAAAAATTCAAAATTAAAATTTTTGTTTTAAAAAACATAATTTTAAAAATAATTTAAGTTTAGGAAATTTCTTAGAAACTACCTGTATTAGATAAATAATTGTTTAAATAACTTGGGTTAAACAAAAAAAACACCAACAACCAAACTACCTTACCCAAAAATACCCAAAAATAAAATAAAATAATAAAATAAAAAATAGGAAAAAATCAACTTGCCACTGATGTTCGACAAATGGGAAATTAATACAATTTAAAACTTAATTAATTAATCAATGGCTTCTAGCTGAGATCACAATAATAATATTCATTCATTCACAAGTAGATAAATTTAGTGTAAATTACACTAATCCCCCTTATAATTTTGAAAAACAACCAAACTACCTTTACCCCAAAATAAAATATAATAATAAAAAAAAATGGAAAAAATCAACTTGCCACTGATGTTCCACAAATGGGAAATTAAGTTAATTAAATACTCATTGATTTCTGGCTGAGATAATAATAATAATATTCATTCACAAGTAGATAAATTTAGTGTAAATTACACTAATCTCCTTAACAGTTTCGAAAAGGATAAATTATAAATATACCTCTTGAGATTTGATTAAAATATAAATTATTTTTTGTGATTTGAAAATTACATTTCATCCCCTGAAGTTTATAATTTCATAATGAATCGTCCATTTTATTAATAAATTATCAAGTCAATTAACAGTTTTTAATGATGTTACAAATATATTTTAATTAATAATTTAAGTAATTTTGTTATTACATAGAAGAGTAATTATGAATTCTTTTTTTTTAGTTAATTTTATTAAATAAAAAATTTTAACAAAAAAATATTTATAATTTTTTAAATTATAAAAAATAATTTATATTTTAAATAAATCTGGATATGGATGTGTAATTTGCCCCTTTCAAACACAACCAAACTACCTTACCCAAAAATAAAATATAATCATAAAAAAGTACAATTCGCACGTGCCTGGCACGGGCCTCGTACCTAGTATATAAATACATATCAGATAAAATTTAAGGTTGATTCATGCACCAAGTAGAAGACGAGAATGCAAGTAAGTTTCAGGGATGAGTAATTGCATCACGGCAAAGTTTTGTTTGGCTACAAGTTCAGAGGTCTAAGGGCAAAGCGCGTATTGGCTTTGGCGGGTACTTTCATGTTCACATCTGTCTTTTTCTCTGCTAAAATGCTCAATTATATATATATATTTTCTTTCTTTGTTTGTTTGTTTCTTATTCGAAATTCTGGGTTGTGAAATGTTGGGTATGGTTTGTTTCACGTTTTTGTTGACTTTCTCTGTGATTTTTCTGCGTGAATGCCTTTATGGGTTTGATTTGGATGTCTTGTCATGAAACTAGTGGTTGATTTGAAGTGGTGTTGTTAGAAATTGCGCTCTCTCTCTCTCTCTCTCTCTCTGTATATCTATAGCTATATATGTATGTATATATGGCCACTGTGAAAAACTGGTGGTAGTTTTTGTTGTTATTTGATGTTTTGAGCTTCATTTGTTATTTGATTCCCGGGTTTTTGAATTCAGGTGTCGACATTAGGGAACTACTCTCTCTCTCTCTCTCTCTCTTGTGTGACATAGTAGTCCTCTTTATTCTATTTTTTCTTTAGAATAATCCGAAGAATTTCTGGGATTTCAAATTTTCTGAAGTCTTTCAAAAATTAGTTTGTTACATAACTGTGCATCTAAAATGGCGGCTTGGCCTAGTTGGTGGCACGAGTTTGAGTCACGGAAATACATCTCTAGAAATTGGGTAAGAATGTGTACAGCGGAGATCTCATTTTAGTCGGAGCTTCATGAACTCAGTTGTCGTTTTTTTTTTTTTTTTCCCTTTTCTTTTATGCATCGCTCTCTGTCTGTCTATCCAGCTTTTGTTTCTGTGACTTGGGAATCAATGGCTTTGTAAAAATCTGGAAGTATTTGATGTTTGAGTTTCATTTGTTACTTCATATCTGGGTTTTTGAATTCACGTGTTGACAGTGGGGTCCTCTTCATTTTAACTTTTCTTTAGTATAATCCGAAGAATCTTCGAGATTTTCAACTTTTCTGAATTTTTTCAAAATTTCGTTGCTTACCTAACTAGGCGTCTAACATGGCGGCTTAGTGTAACAATCGGGTTTGAGTCGCAGAAATTGATTTCCAGAAATGGGGTAAGATTGTCTACGTGTTGCCCTCTCCAGATCTCATTTTAGGAGTCTCCTTCATTGTCTCGCCATCGGCTTTGTGAAAAACTGGAAGACGTTTTTGTTATTTGATGTTTGAGTTCGTTTCTGGGGGGTCTCTGAATTCAGGTGTGGACATTTGGGTACTGCGCTGTGTGAGAGACATGATTTATCAATTTGTTTATGAAATCCAAATGTTGATGTTTGGGGTTAGAAGTTTGGAATTTGAAATAGAAATGAAAGCCTAAGGTCCTTACCAAATGACTTATTCAAGATTCCGTTGTAAACTCGAGTTAATTTGTTTCAAGTTTAATTGAAATTGTTTCTTTATGTACTAATGCTAGGGCTAATTGTGTTCATATGGGTTTTGAATTCAGGTGTGGACATTAGGGAACTGGTGTGTGTGTGTGTGTGTGTGTGTGTGTGTGTGTGTGTGTGTGTGTGTGTGAGAGAGAGAGAGAGAGAGAGAGAGAGAGAGAGAGAGTTGATCAACTTGTTTATGAAAGCCAAACATTGATTTTAGGGGTTAGAAGTGTGGAATTGTAAAATGGAAATGAAAACCTAAGCTCCCTTCCTAACGACTTCTTCAAGACCTCGGTTGTAAACTCTAGTTAATTTGATTCAAATTTAATAGAATTTTGTTTCTTAACATACTAAAGCTAGGGCTAATTGTGTTCATATGGTTTTCTTCCAAATTACAGGTGATTAACTGCTGAAGGAAACTATCAGAGTAATGGAGGAAAGTGAAATAGCTGAAGTCGGAGGCTTGCTTGGATTGCCTGCCCCAGCATCTTTAACCGTTGCAATAGCTATCAATGGAAATAGAAGTAGCAAATACATAATCAAATGGGCATTGGAGAAGTTTGTCCCCGAGGGCGCGGTGATGTTCAGGTTGTTACATGTTCGCCCCAAGATAACTGCAGTTCCAACACCTAGTAAGTTATGCCTCTTTCAAAATTCTTTTGGGGATGTAATTTGTGTCATAAAAATTCCATTTACCTCTTTCAATTGGTTTTTCCACACACCAAAACTCTAGATTCTAACTGAAAAAATCATACCTTGTTTTGAAGTCTTGTGAAAACATCAAGTGACCTACCTTGAGGTTGTTATCATGGGTATCCTTCAAATAGTGACCAGTAGGGCTTTCGATACATAATCCATTCAATCTTGTGAGCATACCCTATATCAAGTGACAAAGAGTTGTGATGTTTTGATTGTTTCATGGGTTTAATTTGTGAATTTTACTGGACGGATACGAACTCTATTACAGAATTGATCATGCCAACAAGAAGAAACATAGTACTGTTTACTGTAAAATGCAATACAAGACATGAATTGCTTCTCGTCTTTGACTGTTGATAATGTTTGTTCCCTCTTGCAGTGGGAAATTCTATTCCTCTTTCAGAAGTGCGAAACGATGTTGCAGCTGCTTACATGAAGGAGATAGAGTGGCAAACAAATGAAAAACTTCTACCTTACAAAAAGATGTGTATTCAAAAAAAGGTGAAAATTTGTTCATGCTTGATCTTCTCATTGAAATCAAGAAAAATAGAAGGTTAAGAGTCTTACTTTTAGTGATCTAAATGCAGGTGCAAGTAGAAATTCTACAAATTGAATCAGATAATGTAGTACATGCTATATCCAATGAGGTTTCCAAGTCTACTATCAACAAGCTTGTTGTAGGAGCTTCATCACGTGGCATGTTTTCAAGGTACTAAAACAGCATATGCTGCTCTGGTTGAGAATGTGATGATTTGCTGGTTCTTTTGTTTGATTTTTCCAGATTTTAATTTCTCTACATAAAACACAATCTTGCTTTCATACTAGAGAGATAGCAAAATCCCAACTTTCCTTATATGACTGTCATGATGCATGTCAAATCACGTTTGGATAGAAACTGGATCCTATCACAGACCCGATGAAAATTGGATTTCCGGATCCCGATTTTAACAACCTTGACATGGACCACTAAGGAGTAACCAATCAGTGAATGCCTGCCTGGTGAATTGTGAGCACATTAACAGTCATGCCACATGCCTATTTGGGGAAGACTGTAAACATAGGACTTGTGTGGATCATGCTGATCTTCAACAATCTCTCTCTCTAGAAGGGGGCTTTCTGGGGGGCTGTGCACTCTTCAATTGCTAGCAAAGAATGTACGATGACATGTAATACATCATCTTTCTATAGAGCCTTGCCACAGCGGGAAGGAGGATTCAGACCTGTGGGCTGCCCTTTTGGGCATGGTATTGATACTGTTTAACTAACGAACCACTCAAAATGGACAAAGTAAGACCAGGTTTTCCCATTTCCATGAAAGGGGAATTGTTAATTAGATAAAAAGGAAAAAGGAAAGACTAGTCCTTGACATGTTATTATATCAAAATAAAAGTTGAAATACCATTTATTTATTTATTTTTGTATATTGCCTCTTCTGAATTTTCAATTTACAAAACTTGAGTTTTTGTTTTTAGTTTTTGTGTATTGACAATCTTATGTTATTGAAAACTTAAGAGGACGAAACTTGTCCTCGAAAATCTCAGAATGCACTCCAAGCTTTTGTACGGTCTATGCTGTTTCAAACGGAAAATTGTCATCTTTGCGCCCATCTGATTCAGAGACAAATGGAAGCATTAAAGATGATAGTAGTGAGACAAGTTCCTCTACCAATAATATGTCAAGTTTCAGTTCCAGCTCACAAGCAGGTATTGTACTTCATCTGTGTTTATTTGCTTTCTTAGAATGGGTACAATTGAATCAGCATAGAAGTAGAGCAAAAATGGAAACAAATGAATAGAATATAATTTTCTGTTTTAACCGTTGGACATAGCTTTGTCTACATCATGTAATTATTGTGGTACAAGCAAAGTAGTGTTATATCTTCTGCTAAATCTATTCTATTTTATAAAGCACACAACTCCAAAGTTTGTGAAGTTTTGTAATGCTAGTTTTTTGGATAAGTAAGTAATATTATAACCAAAAAAGAAAGATATACGATGAAGTTCAACACACATCTTTGTAGGGAGCGTGGACGGGCGCGCGCGCACACAAAAAAAAAAAAAAACCTACTTCCACCAAAGGACACAAAACTAAGCCTACAGAAAGATATAAACAACTTTTACAACAAAGTGGATTCAAAATTTCTCTCTAGCACTTTTTAGGTTATAAAGTTTCTCTTTGAATTTTCTTCCATAGTAGTCTCCCCAGTATTGGGGTCACTTGGAGATGGACTCCCTCTATGATTTAGAATATTCATTTGGCACAACAACTGTTGACTTGATTTGCCATTCCCAAACTCTCCCATCTTACAAGATTTAAAGACTTCAAAGGCATTAGATATAGAGGGGGCGGAAGACCGTGTCCCTCTCCCTTCGTTCATCTCTATTGAAGCTTGCACACCATCTCTTTCCTTTTCTTCTTCACCACTTCCCAATTAGTCAGAATTTGTGTTTTAGTCTCCTTTACTCTCCACTCTTGTTTGAAAGAGGGAGGATTCAATGTCTTTGGCTTTTGAGGGCACATATTAGTGGTATGACCAAATGTCTCACAAACATCACACCTTTGAGGCTTCCATGGATGTCATGCTAGTTTTATTCCCAAAATAACCCCAACAATATTAGGTTTTCCAAATATATATATATTTGCATAGCAGTTAATGTAAGGACTGAAAAGTTAAATCAACCAACCAAAAACTGCTGTTTAGCTTCCCATTACTCCCTTGCCCTTTTAACCGTGATCTCTTTGATTGCACACATTAGTGTGCTTACTCTTCTAGTGTACAGATATGACTAACATAGTAACAGTAACTACTCTGTCCCTCATTGCTGCCACTATGGCATGCTACAAATTGGACCTGAAATCTAAGGCTGCAAAACAAGCTGTAGATGATAATAATTCTACATGTGGAAAAACACAAGATTTACCCCTGCATGCTTACACACACATACATTCTGGCAATACATCCATTCTACAATTGAATTTGGCAATGCACATGGAAGTTGCGTGTATTGGTGTGGGCATGTCTCTAGTCTCTCTTTTATCTATTCTTTGAAACCTAAGATTTAGGACGATAAATTGTCAAGTCTCTTGACTCCTATGTTTACATGGCATAGGCTCTCTTATAGAAGTGCCTTGATTGTTTGGAAATCTTCATAGGAAGAAGGAATGTATCAAGAATGTCTTCAATGAACAGATTTGGTTTGCTCATTTAAAGATTATAGCATAGATTTGGATTTCTAAAAGATACTTGGAGGTGATTCAAGAGACTTATTACAATGATTCAAGTTGAGATACCTTTCCTACCTCTATCCTTGCCCTGATTTCTTGAAATCCAACTCCAATAGTGAATCCTGTTACAGATTTTAACTTGAAACCCAAGTCTCATTTTTAGAAATCCATCAATCCAAATGCAACCTTTGTAAATTAGAATCTGTTCCTCCAATTTTTGTTGAAGGTTTTGTAGAAGATGCTCAAGCAATATGTTCCTTCTTAAGTTCTAATTTTTTGTGATGTAGTTGCCAATTAGAATTCAGGTTCTTCGCTGGGCCTCTCTCTGTGTCTTGCTCTCATTCTAATTTGAGTAGTTTTATTATGATATTCATGCTGGGAAACCTCAGTAATTCTTTGGCTCTTCACCATGTTTCTGATTTGATTTGAGAATTGCCCCTGTTATGAACTACCAAAGCAAGGACACTTTTGGAGGAACCAGGATATACACGCTGTGTCACATCTTCTGACAAGTCCTGTAAACTTTGTGCACAAATATTTTTAATCATAATTACATATTTTTTTCCCATACAAAATACATGAACATAGAAAGACATGTACAATGATAGTCTTTTGTATTGTACATTCTGTATAATTTCTGTGTTGACATTCTGTTGATGTGGCAATACTTTGTATAAAGGCGATATAGCGTCAAAATCTAATTTTCCTTCATATTCTCATTTTGCAGAATTGACCGAACCAGGCTTGGTTGCTTCGTATCCTCATTTTCATTCTCCTTCACTACCAATGCAGCGGTTTCAAGCTCTTTCAACCATAAACCAGACCCTTCTTCATAAGAAAACAAATTCAACCGAAACCAGTCATTCTGGAATTTCGTCTCTGGATATTGTGGAAGAGGAAGATGTTGGTCATCCAAATAGTACGGTATCTAGTTTCAGAACCTTGGTAACAGACAACCAGTCGTGGATATCTGATCAAGCTTCTATCTCAGATTTTTCATCTGACAGCCCGGTAAACTAATTGCATAGTACTTTGATTTGGTTTGCTTGTGATTGTCAATTATCAATTAGAATACAGGAAGCTCTGTTGGCATTGGTAAGAGCCGCTGAATCACTTTGATAATCTCTTTCCTCTGATGGGAAATTCGGTTGCGAGGATTGTGTTTGCTAGGCATTCTTGTTAGGCAATTGTTTTGTGCATGACTAGTCTTCAGTGTTAAATGGAAGGTCTGCAATGATTAGAAGTATTGTAAAGTAAGTGTAAGAATTTTGGTTCCTGCTTGAGCCAGACCTCCACCTGACTAATATAAGTGCTGCTTGCAGTAATTGGTGAGAACAGATCGCATTAAGTGCAAGAGCTGTTGTGCGTGCTAAATACCATTAAAAATTGCATTTAAATTAAACTAGAAGCATAAAAATTACATAAATTTAGTGTAAGCCACGGCAAAATTTGTAAATTTCCATTCGTAGATGACATAGTAAGGCATGACTTGTTCCGTGTATATCCTTTCCATGTTAATGTGGAGCTTTCTTAGGTTGAGTTTGGATCTTGAATTTGTGGAGAGAAAAGAAAAGGAAAGGGAAAAGATAGGAAAAGAAAATGAAGTAGAAGCCAAATTTCTCTCTTTTTTGGTTGGGTTGGGAAAATTAATAAAATGAATTTACATTTTTCAGAAGAAAAAAAAAAAAAAAACTATTTTTTGTTTAGTTGCTGATGCAATGGTAATTAACAGCAAGTTCATGGAGTAGTTTGACTGTTTGATGGTGAAATGGTAATTTTGCTGATTTTTCAAGAATGTCAGATCAGGCCCAAAACACCAATATTCAATCCGAAATGGCCCAATGAGTTCAACCCGCTGTAGTGATCTTCATTGGATTTTGGGCAAATTTTATCATTTAGGCCTCCGAATTAGGAAATTTACTAACTTTTGGCAATATTTGAATGCGTAATTTCGGAGTCTAAACAAATTTGTTTTGAATCATTTTTTTTTCCTTCTGGGAAGCTTCTTTTATATTCTTGATTCTAGGTTTGAACCTAACTCAAATATGCTAGTTTTGGCAGTTTTATACTTCATGAAATTCTGGCTTAATTTGGGGTTTGTATTTCTTGGTTGTCAAGCAATGTTTGCTATAAATTGAGTAGTAAGCTTTTGAGGCTATTCAGTTGTTTTGATTTGAGTAATAAAATTTGACAGAAATTGTTTCCTTTTCTATATTGTTCTTGTTTCCATTATGTGTTCATTCACTCCACAAGCATCCTTACATAAGTTACCTATAAAAAAATGAGTAAGTACAAATTCTAAGATCCAAGAAATCACCGTAACGAGTTTAAAACAATGGTGCGAGCTTCTCTATAGGAAAGTAGTCATTGTCTTTTATCACTTTGGCTAAGCATTGTATCTTTAATACAAGTAATATGTCTTGTTGATTTTCTAAGCTTTGGTATGTATATGTCAGGGTGATATGCGTGGACATATCATATAATATGAGTTAAATGATGGTTTTTTTCTCTTATGTGCAGGTCAATGTCAATGTCAATTTTGAGCTAGAAAAACTGAGAATTGAACTCAGACATATTCGAGGAATGTATGCAATGGCTCAAAGTGAGACATTTGATGCTTCTAGGAAGGTAATATTTTTCCCACAATAAGTAATGAAAAGAAACATTTACACTTATTGATTGATATAAATGAGGCCACATTCTCGCCCCCCCAAACAAAAAAAAAAAAGAAAGGTTTTTCTTTCCTTTCTTTTGTGGGAAAAACCCTCAAAGTATTAAGTAACTTGAAACCCAAATTTCATGCTTACATTTCAAACTTTCATAAATTCAGAGAATTTATTTTTCCAAATAAAGGATGTAATCAAATTTATTAGAATGATTACTTGAGTAGAAGGTGGGATCTCTTCTATCTGAACTTGCACTCGTGTTCCTCACTTAGTGTATCAATTTTATTCTCCCACGATTTGAATTTTTCAACTGAACTCTTGTTGAAATTTCCATACCCTCTGGTTTTTGACGTATTTAAATTATAGTTTTTTTATTCTCAAATTTTAATAACCACCCATGAATGATCCGTTATTTCATTGAATGATTAAAAATTATTTGGATTTGTGGCAACATGCCAGTTGCGGACTGAAATTTATTTATTTATTTCTATCCATGTCCTGTCTCAAAGAGGAGCTTGCTGATGCCCTTGCTTTCTATTTAGATAAATGATCTTCACAAGCACCAATTGGAAGATGCAACTAAGCTTAATGAGATAAACGATAAGGAGGCAGAAGCAAAACAACTGGCAATACAAGAAAGAGAGAAATATGAAGCTGCAATAAGAGAAGTCGAGCACATGAGGAAATGCGTTGAAAGAGAAGCTGCTCAAAAGAAAGAAGCAGAGATTAGAGCCTCTCATGATGCCAAGGAGAAAGAAAAATTTGAGAATGCCCTGTTGAGCTCTCCGCAGCAGTACCGAAAGTTTGAATGGGAAGAAATCGTGTCAGCCACGTCATCGTTCTCTGATGACCTTAGAATTGGAATGGGAGCATATGGAACTGTTTATAAGTGCAGTTTGCATCATACAGCTGCAGCAGTGAAGGTCCTCCACTCTAAAGAGGCTCACAGGAACAAACAATTTCAGCAGGAGGTAAGAAGAGACTTGTGAACAATAATAGACTAGAAGTCATTCCTTCGGATATATTATAGAGTAGTACATTTTTCACCCTTCAACTTTTATTCGAATTTCACTTTGGTCTCTCCTCACATTTTAATTGCAACAATTAAGTCTTTAGATTTCAACCCAAGCTTCAATATAGTCCTCTCGTCACCCCACCATTTAAAATTTTAGTGAAAGTTAACAGGTGAAAAGTGTAATTTTTTTAAAAAAATTCCTTTAGTACCCTTAAAACATGTTTGCATGGCCATTACATGAGCACTTTTTGTCCATCTTTTTACTGATGATGAGTGACAGAAGGACTACATGAAACAATAAGGGTTGAAGTCTAGGACTTAATTGTTACAATGAAAAGGTGAGGGACAAAAGTGAAATTCGAATAAAAGTTAAGAGGATAAAAAGTGTAATTTACCCTATGTTATATATAAACACTATGCTGAATGTGTTCAAGGACTTTCTGCTTTGTGATTTTAAATTATCAAATACATTTGGATATCCTGGGAGGCCAACTTTTTCTCTCACCAATTCTACTTGGTCTCAAGTCCCTCCAATTATACATTTGAACACATTTTTAAATACTTATCTCAGATGTTTCTTCCCTTTCCAGCTTGAAATCTTGAGCAGAATTCGCCATCCCCATTTACTGATTCTTCTTGGAGCGTGTCCTGATTATGGTTCCCTAGTTTATGAATACATGGAGAACGGTAGTCTGGAGGATAGGTTGCTCCGAAAAAACAATACACCTCCAATTCCATGGTTTGAGAGGTACAGAATCGCTTGGGAAGTAGCCTCAGCCCTTGTCTTCCTGCACAACTCAAACCCACACCCTATTATCCACCGTGATCTGAAACCAGCAAACATTTTGCTTGATCGCAACTTTGTGAGCAAGATTGGTGATGTCGGGCTTTCCAAAATGCTTGAATCGGATCCTTCTGTTATATCAACCATGTGCAAGGACACGGGACTTGTAGGGACACTTAGCTACATAGATCCGGAGTATCAGAGGACTGGGTTAATCTCTCCAAAATCAGATGTTTATGCGTTTGGGATGGTGATTTTGCAGTTGTTGACTGCAAAACCAGCCGTAGCACTGGCCCATGTAGTGGAAACAGCAGTTGATGATGGTAATTTTGCAGATTTATTGGATCCAGAGGCTGGAAATTGGCCAATTGAAGAGACGAAGGAATTGGCTGTGTTGGGATTGAAATGCACGGAGCTTCGGCGTAGAGATAGGCCTGATTTGAGGGATCAAGTTCTTCCTGCTTTGGAGAGATTGAAAGAGTTTGCAGATAGGGCTCGAGATATGGCATCCAATGCTCAACCGGCACCTCCAAACCACTTCATATGCCCTATACTTCAGGTATGCTGTGGCATATGTCACTTCCCTTTTCTTTTCTTTTTTTGCAGAACTGAATTCTACATGTTTGTAAATGAAAAAGTCAATTTTGTTAATTTGGAAATGGTTTATGAAATCTCCTACCGCTCTCATTTTTGCCGCAGTGGTGGGATCCTCATGCACTGGGACTGCCCTTTTTGTGAGTTCTTGGAATATAGGCTAGTCATACAACCGATCATGGATATTCATATGGAAAAAAGCAGTTTTTTGGACGCTTGTTATGTATTTATTAACTTATTATTACTCATAGCTTATCAAACATTTGTTAGTGTGAAACTTGCCCTAATAAATGCAAAGATGCATTTGTGATCTTAAACATCAGTATGGATTATATCGAACCCCTTGGTTCTGCATTTATATCTTATCTGTATGTGTAAGTATATTTGTATATATTGATATGTATTTCTTCTTTATCCAAACTCTTTTTTTTTTTTTCTCTTTTGGTTATGACAATTGATCTGTTTCATTTCCAGGATATCATGGAAGAGCCTTGTGTTGCTGCTGATGGGTACACTTACGATCGCAAAGCTATACAGACATGGCTTGAGGAGAATGATAAATCCCCAATGACAAATTTGCCATTGCCAACTAGGAATCTAATTCCAAATTATACACTTCTTTCTGCTATTATTGAGTGGAAATCTGGAAAACAATGACATCCTTTTGTTTTTAACTTTTTTTTTTTGGTGGGGTGGGGGTAGAATTTCTTAGAAGAATTATTCCTTTTATTTAGTTGGATTTTGTTCCAAATATGAAGGTTTTAAATTATTAGAAATATGTATATAATAATTTGAAATGATAGGATTGTGATGGAACAATGTGTACAGGTTGCTGATGAACAATAAGAATGTTCTGTGTGTTGCAAGTAGAGAGAGTGATAGCTATAAGGCACTTGAATGAGAATACTTGGTGCTTACATGATGCCTGTTGTCAATGCATGGGTTAGCGGATGATCATCATGATGATAGCTGCTTCTTTTCTTTTCTTTTTCTTTTCTTTTTTTCTTTTTTTGTTGAATTAGAAAGGAAATTACATTGAAGTAAAAAAAAAAAAAAAAAAAAAGGTTCATACAAGGAACTATTTTACGATAAGAAGGGAAACTAATCTGGCAGATAATAAAAGAGGATACAAACTTGACAATAAAATTAGCTTCTCTGCGGACAAATATGCCCTGGAAATTACTGTTAGTTGTAGGCACTCAGTCAAACAAAATTTGGTTTGTTTAGTTATTGGCTTTCCGCTTGCAAAGATGTGTAGTGTTTTCCATGAATTAGATTCAATAATTAACCATTGGGTGTTAGCTTGAATAGTCCAAATTTCAGTCGGATTGTTACTTGTACCAATGGGACATTTGAAAGCTTAAATGCAGTGACCAGTATTATCTCTGAAGATGCCACCAATGCTTGCTCGGGGTTACCTTGACAAGCACCATCCGTGTTGAGTTTGTTAACCGAGTGTGTGTACTTTGAAAGTGTTCTTTAGAATAGAGAGTGCAAACTTAGCAGCATATGATATCTTGTGAAGGTGTAAAGGTTGATTTTCAAAAAGCATTTTATTCCTAGTTGTCCACATTTGCCAAGAGTAAGAAAAGTTTAAGTGAAGCAAGATTGGTAAGGTTTAGATTTAGCCGAAATGATAGTGCCATAAGGGAAATATTTGGATTTAAACATCAAAGCCCATAAAGATTCAGAATGTCTCAATAAGTGCCATCCCAACTTCATCATGTAGGGCTGGTTAAGCAAAGTTAGGTTTTAATGCCTAATCCTCCATAATTAATAGGGTGACAAACCATGGACCAAGCTGATGTACTTTGTCGATAATATCCCAAAATGTTGATTTAGAAACTGGTGACCAGCTTCTAGCAATTGATAAATTGAATACATGCATCTACCTAGTTGAAGACAGCAATCTAATTCCGCAGAATATGATACAGTTATTTACAGTCTCATGAGCCACTGCCAGAGAGAGAGAGAGATTATGCACAATTTATATACCAATTGAAAACTTAAATCAAGTATAGTTATGCACAATTTGTATATTAATTGCAAACTTCAGTCAATGAATCGAATGTACAAATATTTATTTAACTAGAAGGGATTAGAAAAGCTTAATAGGAACCTGTTTAATTAGGGAATATAATACATGGGATTTGGGAGCTTGAATGAGCGGATGGAAACTGATGAACCCAAAAGATCGCTCCATTGGTCTCCGGAGTTGCCCAAAATCCGGTATCCTTCTTCCACCATCTCATTCCTCTTCTCCGACTTGTATATTGCCGCTAGCTTCCCATGGTCCTCAGTTGCTCTGCACGGTTTAAGACACTTGAAATTTGGTAAAAATATGCAACGAAGGAAACCATCTCTAATTTAATATTAAAAATAAACGCCATATTTAAATTGGAGGCTTAATTCCCCATCAAAGAAGGCCCATCTTTCTTTTCCTTTTTTTTTTTTTTTTTTTTTTTGTTGATAAATCAGAAGGCTCATCATGTTCACCCTTCCATCATTGAAAATTAATTTGTGGCCCAAAAAACACATTAGACAAGATCACAAGGAAATTGAATTCATCCTATGAGAGGGACAAGTTAGTCACTCTTTAAAAAAATTGGCAAAAGTTGCCTTTTAGCATTGAGTAAAATTGAAATAACTTTCTTTATAAAACTAATGCTATTAAGGCAGATGAATATATTCTATAGACCATCACATCAGTGTAACATTTGAGGTATAAATTTCATAATATGAGTAGCGACAATTAACTAGCTCCTAATATCAAATCTTCTAGGAAAAATTATTACTGTTAGATCACACAAGGTAGGGCTGTAAAGGAATTGGCTATGGGCTAGCTTTAGTTGAGCTGAATTCAATTGAAGAAGAAACAAATCAGATTGGAATTTAATTTACATCATTAATCTGGCCGTTAATTCAACAATTACTGCCACATTCATGAGTCTAGATTTGGTTTGCAATATATTTTCAACAGGACTTGACAGAATTATCAAGTCACAAGAACCAAAGAATGAAAAAAGGATGTTTCTGTGTAAAAAATAAAATAAAATCAAGTATGCATTTTCCCATTTGTACAGTGCATGCATGCACAAGCAGCGATAGATGCATAACTAGATTGAGGTTTTATTCACTGAATTAAAAAAATATCCAATTTGATTCTTTTGTCAATGGACATATTACATCACATATGCTACTGGAAGGAAATATTTCCTGGTGTATAATCGTGCAATTATTTATAAGCATTTTAAATAGTAGTAGTTGCACACATGGGGGGGAAAAAAAAAAAAACCATATTTACCAGAAACCTTTTCTTATGATGGAATTTTGTATTCCGTAAACCCTATATACGAGAAAATTCTAATAAAACCTAAGGAACCATTTTCATGTTTATTTCCCAAACTTCTATGTTCCAAACTTACTATTGATTTCTAGTAGCAGACATTAATACCACTCATCAGAAAGAAAAAACCCTAAGGCCTATGACTAGTCAAACATCATCATTCCTCATGTGTCAATAAGGCTCTGCATAAATGAGAGGCCAGCTCTAAAATTCAATTATGATCTCATTAAAAGCAGTCTACAAAATATGGGCTCTAACCTAAAATAATGACATATAGAAAAAGAAATTACTTGATCATTGTTTTGTATACAATCGTTTCAATATGATTCAAAGACCCACATCAGAAAGGCATTGTTAACTAGAACTTCATACCCTAATGCAGTGATGAGGAAAAATTGGAAAGTTTGATTCTGAATCCAAGATTTGAAAATTAGAACACTTCCAATCTAGGTCTAGAAAGTATAGGAACATCGTCTCTGTGATATATTCTTATAAATGTGACATGAAATTTGGGATGCTTTGCAAATTTTCTAAGTTTCTGAGCTATGTAACAATTTTTCATTTTTGTACTTCCCCTGATGTATACTAAAATCCTAGCCAACAAAGATTCATAACAAGTTTGTTCATTTGAATAATTCTACGAGAAGATAAATTCCACTTTGAAAATCAAAGAAGATGTACAGCATCCTAAACAATAAAAATAGAGTTTGCAGTAAAAAATTTAGATATTGATATCTGTAAAATAGAATTGAATAGATCAGTAAAATTGCAATAAAACAAAAGTCATTCAAGACGATACTTCTATGATATGTGAGTTTGTTCATTCAAACTAAGATTTCATGAATGTAATGCTGATATTAAACATATGTTGCTTAACAAGAAAAGGTTGTACCAAGTGCACACGTTTTTCTTAATAAAACAAAAAATACATTTTTTTTTTTCTTTTTTTCTGGAGAACCCAAAATGTTAGCCACTAGCAATAGTTGATAGTTGAAAGATGTACAAAGCTAATAAGAAAATTATAATGATCTATCAAGCAAAATAAAAGGCATTACATCAAACAAGTTTATCCTGTAAAATCATAAACATAACAAACCCTATCAGCAATCTAGGACAAAGAACAGTTTGAAAACTAACCTCAATATGAGCTTGTCCCAATCCTGAAAGCCCGAATTGATCAAATTCGCAACAGTAACGCCTCTTTGATGTTCACTGCGCCCGGTAAGCAAGAAAACCTTGAATCCCAACTTCAGAACCTCTTCATAAAGCTTCAGACTGGACTCTATTGGAGATGCCATAGCCTTGTCAACCCACTTATCAAACTCCGCACCATCAAAAACCTCTAACCTACAAAATTCCACCAATAACCCATCTCAGAATGCAATCAATTTCTCATAACTACCCATCTCCCATGCTCAAATCGATTTCCTTCAGACCCAATAAGGCCAAAGGGTTAATTTTACGTTTTATCCCCTAAACTATCACCAATTTTTCTAATTTATCCCTAAATTATTAATTTATCTATTTAGTCTTTAAAGTTTATAATTTCAGTTCATATGGTCCAATTAGAGACGATTGGAAAAATCAGAAGCAATTGACACCTAATTTGATGGGTAAAAAAATCATTTCATAATTTGAACAAATTAAACCATACCATCGAACATTGATTTATGTTGTCCGGATTGTAAATGTCAAAGCATCCGACTCAAAACCAATTGACAAGGGCTTCTCAAGTATATCAACCAAGCTTGGTTGGGTTATAGAGACATTGGACAAGTCAAACAGTAATATTCCCTTTTTGCCCTTTCAAATTAGGCTTCAAGGGTTACCGAGTTGTACAATCGTTTTCAATCAAATCACATAAACTGAAATAATAAATTTTAGGGACTAAATAAATAAAAGTGATAATTGAGGGATTAAAAAAAAATATTATAGTTTAGGGGATAAAGGCAAAATCAACCGGCCAAATCAAGAATTAAATTTGAAAATTAGGAATTGCAATTAGTCCATTCTTTATCAACATTTAAGCAGTGTTTGGATGGAGGGAAAAGAAAAGTGCAGAAACAAGTGAATCGAAACACAAACCAAAAGCATAGCTAATGCAATTAAATCGAAAATTTAAGAAAATCTGAAGAACATTACCCAAAACCATGATCAGCATAGTAAGGAAGATTCGAAAGCAGAGTCTCATCGATATCAAATACCCAAACATCCTTCGCATCTTCACCCAATTCAACGCTCTTCGCATACTTTATAGCCTCTTTCGAAACCCTTTCGAGATCGAATCTATAAGCCCTACCCATCAAGTAGTCCTTCACATAATCAGCACATTCGTGTGGAATCGTCTTCCAAGGGCTCAAATTATTACTCTCAATAGCGAATCTCCAACTGGAGCACTCTAATTGAAGCTCATCTATGGATTTCCCAAACTGGGTTTCGATGGTTTGTGGGAATTCGATGATCAAAGGTCTGGGAAGGAGGTGGGAATTGAAAGTTTCGTGAGAAAAAGTGATGGAAAATAGAGAGAAGAAAAGGAATAATATTATGAAGAAATTCATGATCGGGATTGAAAGAGAAGTCAAATGAAGATGGTAATAGTAACAGATCAACCGAATTTTAAAGACCAAAAATTGAATGTAACGTCTGCCTGTAGCAGTGACGTGATGGCGCTGGAAGGAAGGAGTGATCGTAACACCGCGTTTGGATGGAGCGATTTGGTGAGGAGAAATATTTTTTACATACATACATCTTTAAGGTTTGTTTAAGATATGGATTGACTTATGTGGTTTTATAAATTACAAATACTCTCTTATTGGAATTTTTTTATTTTAACAGAATTAATTGAGAAAAATAAATTTTCTAACTGTTCTCTTATACAATAATAAAATTATATAAATTATTAATTGAAATAAAATTTTGATATTATTAAAAACTATCAATTGACTTGATGATTTATTAATAAAAGAGACTATTTGTTATGAAATTTGAAACTTCAAAGGGTGGGATATAATTTTCAAAACCACAACAAGTAATTTGTATTTGAAGCAAACTTCAAGGGTGTATTTGTAAGTTACCCCAAAAAGGAAGAGAATAAGGGGAAATTCTATTTCCACTCACCTAGTTATCTCAGAGCATACCCTTGATAAAATTTTATTTTAATGATAATTATACATTAAAATAAAATGACCATAATGGATATTAAAACCCTAGTCAACCCATCTTATCTCTTCTCTCCTCTCTCATTCCCTCTTTCTACCACCACCAACAACAAATAAACCCACAAATCCTTTTGTTTTCTTCCTTTTTCGTTCTCTTTTCAAAATCAATTCAATTTGTTTCGGTTACGAATATATGGAGAACAACAGAGAGGAAGACGATCTTGAATGGTTCATCGTCAACAACAATCAGATGGTCTCTTCTTCTTCATCATTATCGCCTTTGCCATCGCCGTTGCAAAACCACTAGTTTGCTTTTCCGGCAAGTTTTTTGGTGAGCTTTGCTTCCTAAAAAAAGCCCTTTTCAGCAAACTAGTGCCAAATTTTTTATTTTTATTTTTGTTAGAAATCAACTATCAAAATTATTATTTTTGTTCCAAAAAAAAAAAATTTGAATAAAAAAAATTAGTTACATTCAGAAATCAAGTTTCAAAATTTTAGAAATTTTTTGAAAGTTAACAACCATAAAACCTAATTCTATTTAGAAAACCAGTATCGAATGATCAAAACTTAATTCTTTGGCGATTGGAGAAGCTTCTGTGACTTGTCATTGTCTTCGTCGTCGACAACAGTGAGCGAACAAACTTGGTCCTTAACAAGAACCTCATCATGTCTAATTGCTTCTTCCTCCATAGCTTTGGTACGTATGTGTAAGCCCCTGTTACAATTATACAAATGTATTCATATATTCAGATATACATACCTATATAGCATATGTTGGAAAAATGGCTTTGTAAACCTTATTTTTTGCTAACTTTGAGCATTAATTAAGGTGGGACCTAAACGTTTTTTCTCAGGTTCGTGTTTAATGCTGCGTAGTGAATTAAACCATGTATTTGGTTGCTCAAAACCATTTCCGGATGAATGAGAATTCAACGTGCATTTTGGCTTCGTGGAAATGAATTTCGGTGGGTTTACAACACATTTGTGACATGTGCTTGTCCCACATTAGAAAAGCTTAAGGAATTGTTTGGGTATATATACCTTAACTTGGGATACTTGGGATGGGCCCCAAGGGGTACCCAAGTTTGTGGAAAGGTGAGATTATGGTGTAGTGGGCTAGACCCATTGGACCAAAAACTAAAACCGCGCATGCTGCGACTGGCTAGCCTAGGCTTGGGCGCGGGTGCGTAGTGTGAGGTTGAGTTGCGCTTTCCGGCCCAATACTTATCTTTTTGGGTTAAAAACTTTTGAACTTTATTTATTTCTTTTTATTTTTGATTTTAAAAATCAAAATAAATTGGTTCAATAATTTTTCTTCTACCCAAACAGAGCCCTAACAGGTTAGATCCTCCTGAATTGGTTCAAAGAGTTCAACCCGAAACTGAATCTGTTCCAACAGATTCAAATCTATTGGTGCCTCTTCAATCTATCTGAACAGGTTTTATACCTATTCGGAATAGCCACTGTTTTGCCTATATAAAGCCTTCAATTCCAGCATTTTTGAGATCAATTTTATCATTAGAATTTCGTCATCTTTTTCCTGTGTCTCTCTACATTATTCTTCATTTTATTTTAGGAAGAAAAAAAAAAGAGTTACAACATATTTTAGTTCGCCAGACTTGGTTTTATAGTGTTGTAAAATCAAGATGTAGTCGTTGCATCCTGGGAAGTAGACGCTGGTTAAAACTCGAAGCACTGGAGCAAGGGCGAAATCTACTTTAAGGAGATTGTGTCCAACACAAGCCTCGACGTTTAAATTCTATAACCATTTAAATCAGAAAATAATTCCGAGTTATTTTATTTATTTTTTATTTTATTATCACATTTAATTTACACATACATACTACCGTGGGTATAACAATCTTAAAGTAGAATTTCTTTTTTATTTATTTCTGTGTTAGACAGAGGAATATTTTGTTTTGGGAAATTAAATAGTAGTCATATACTGTTTAAATAATTTCTTTGATAACATAGTAGTCATATACTGTTTATCATTCGAATTATTATTACAAAATATTATTCTGTATATTTTGTGTGTAATTTATTTTGTGTATAAAATTGTGATTGGTACATTATTATTTTTGTCAGAATTATTGACAACTGAAATAAACAGTACTTAGACTGTTATTACTCAAAACCACACACCTGTTGTGCCAGTGATCACTCCGACAGTACCGGTAAATCATGGGGAAAAGCCAAAAAAATTCAATGGTAATGATTTTAAAAGATGGCAACAAAAAATGATGTTTTATCTTACCACGTTGAATTTGGCTCGTTTCATTCATGAAAAAGCACTGATACTGAATGAGGGAGAAACTAATCGGTAAGTGGTTGCCGCAGTTGATGCATGGACACATGGTGATTTCCTGTGTCGGCATTATATCCTCAATGGGTTGGACAATACACTGTACAATGTGTATAGTGTCAAAAGCACCGCTAAAGAACTATGGGAATCTCTAGATCATAAGTATAAAACAGAGGACGCCGGTATAAAGAAATTTGTTGTCGGTCGTTTTTTGGATTTTAAAATGATAGATTACAAAAAGGTTATTAGCTAAGTTCAAGATCTCCAAGTAATTTTTCATAACATAGATGCGGAAGGGATGGTTTTCAGTGAATCTTTCCAAGTTGCGAAAATCATTGAAAAATTGCCACAATCTTGGAAAGAATTCAAGAATTATCTAAAGTATAAGCGCAAGGAGATGAAATTGGAGGAATTGATAGTGTGACTCAGAATTGAGTAGGACAACCGTGGTTCCGACAAGAAGTCAAGAAACCATGTCATGCAGGCTAAGGCAAATGTTGTGGAACATGGACAGGGGTCAAAGTTTAACAACAAGAAACGAAAGCATGATGGCAATGGTCCCAAAAAAGGATCCACAAGTAAAGGGATCAACAACAGGTTCAACAAGAGGTTCAAAGGCAAGTGCTTTGCGTGCGGCAAATATGGACATCGCGCAAAGGATTGTCACGTTCGCAAGGACGGAGGGAGTTCAAAGCCAGCACAAGCTAACATAGCCGAGGATTTTTATCTTTCTGATGGAGTGGTAGACATCAATCTTGCTGCAGTAGTCTCTGAAGCAAATTTGGTGGGCAATTCCAAGGAGTGGTGGGTGGATACTAGAGCAACCCGCCACATCTGTGTAGATAAAAAGATGTTCACAACCTACAAAGTGATGGAAAGTGGGGAACAACTTTTTATGAGAAACTCTTCTATTTCAACTGTGGAAGGACAATGAAAGATCGTGCTGAAAACGACCTCGGGGAAAGAACTCACTCTTAACAATGTACTCCATGTGCCAGAAATTCGCAAGAATTTGATTTCTGGGTCATTATTAATTAAGAATGGGTTTAAATTAGTCTTTGAATCTGATAAAGTTGTACTCTCCAAGAGTGGAATGTATGTGGGGCGAGGTTATATGAGTGATGGGCTTTTTAAACTCAATGTAACAACTGTTGTACCTAATTTGGCTTTTATTAATAAGAACACATCTTCTGTTTATATTGCTGAGTCTTCTTCTTTATGGCATGATAGATTAGGACATGTTAATTTTAATTCTTTGCGTAGACTTGTTGCTTTAGAATGTTTACCAAATTTAAAATTTGATAATCATAAATGTGAGATTTGTGTTGAGGCAAAACTTACTAAGGCATCATTTCATAAAGTTGAACGAAGTACCGAACCTCTAAGTTTAATTCATACAGATATCTGTGATTTAGAATTTGTTCAAACTAGAGGAGGTAAGAAGTACTTTATTACTTTTATTGATGATTGCACTCGATATTGCTATGTTTACTTATTGAAAAGTAAAGATGAAGCTGTAGAAGCTTTTAAGCAATATAAACTTAAGGTTGAAAATCAACTTGGCAAAACTATTAAGATAGTGAAGAGTGACAGAGGTGGTGAGTATGATGCACCATTTGAAGAATTTTGTTCTAAACATCATATCATTCACCAAACCACTACACCCTATTCTCCTCAATTAAATGAAGTTGCTAAGAGAAATAATCGAACTCTTAAAGAGATGATGAATGCCATGTTGATTAGTTCAGGCTTACCTCAGAACTTGTGGGGGGAGGCAATTATGTCTGCTAACTTTATCCTTAACAGGGTATCCCATAAGAAACTTAATCAAACACCTTATGAATTATGGAAAGGTCGATGACCTACCTACAATTACCTCAAAATGTGGGGGTGTTTGGCCAAGGTTGTAGTCTCTAGTCCCAAAACGACTAAGATAAGACAAAAGACCGTTGATTGTGTGTTCATTGGTTATGCAAATAATAGTAGTGCATATAGATTTTTAGTTCATAAATCTGAAAATCCGGATATGCATGTAAACATTATTATTGAGTCAAGAAATGCATCGTTTTTTGAACACATTTTTCCTAGCAAGGAAATTGAAGAGAAAAGTTCAAATAAAAGAACTTTTAATACTGCTATGGGTAGCAGTGAAGACCAAAATGATAATGAAGTAGATGAAGCTAGACGTAGCAAGAGGGCTAGGATCTCTAAATCATTTGGTCTTAGTTCATAAATCTGAAAATCTGG